GAACTGTGGAACTTTAGGGTACAATCAAATAGACAGCCAATTCTTTCTCTACTTTCCTCTATGTAAGAAATTCTGTTATTTATTTTAATAATTTTTTTCACTCATAATAGGTAGAACACACTCATTCAATTCTTCTATTTATTGAGCACCTATTGTACTAGGAGCACTTATAAAAGCTTACAATTTAGTGTGTAGTAAATATTCAATGCCTTGTTAATCAAGTTGATTAACAGTACAAATATGATTAAGTGAATGCATTGATCAGGCAGAACAAAGATCTATAAATATTCCTAGAAGAAAGAGTTAGGTTAGCCTGTTTGAAAATGTACTGACTCGGATGTCAGAATATTTCTTTCTTCCATTCATTCATTCATTCATTTCAAATGTTTACTGAATGTCCGACCTATGTGATGGGCAATGTGCTAAACATTAGGGATTAAAAAATGAACAGAAGGTACTTGTTCCCCACCCTTAACGCCTCCTGATAGCTTCCAGTTGTGTGACTTTGAGAAATCACTTCTCGAGCATTCTATTTTTCTTGTTTGTGAAACATAGGTAATCATAGTATAGTAATTATATCTAAAAGGCTGAGTGACTTCTTATATCCCTTCCGGCTCTAAAATTGTATAAAGGAAGATTGAGACTTAGCCTTAAAAGACAAATGAGATTTAAAAAGGGAAGCAAAGACTTTCCAGAAAGAGAGTTAAAAATAAATAAATAAATAAGTAAGTAAATACCCACTGGCGTGCAACCAAGTCTGTTGCAGCAGTGTGTTTGTACAGAGAAGTAGTGGAATATAGGGTACTGTAGGTCGTATTGTGAAGCATCTTGAAGCTGTTATGACAAGGATTGATCATTAGCTTCCAGGAGACATTCTCAAAGTTTTCCATCTAGTTAGAGAAGGCACAAAATTTTAGCTGGGCTCAGGAGCTCTCAGCTAGACTACATCCTCCAGACTCTTTTCCATCAAGGTGATCTATTTTGTGCCAACTGAATGGATTATACATGACAGATGCAACTTCTATGTCATCTTCTTTTTTTTTTTTTTTTTTAGGAAGATTAGCCATGAGCTAGCATCTGCCCCCAATCCTCCTCATTTTTTTGCTGAGGAAGATTGACCCTGAGCTAACAGCCATGCCCATCTTCCTCTACTTTATATGTGGGACGCCTGCCACAGCATGGCTTGACAAGCAGTGCATAGGTCCGTACCTGGGATCCAAACTGGCCAACCACGGGCCACTGAAGCAGAATGCGTGAACCCAACCACTGTGCCACCGGGCTGGCCCCTATATCATCTTCTTAAAGACAAAGCCGCTTATCCTTGACTTTCTCCCTCCCACCCTGCCTCTTGCTGGGAAATCATGACAGCTAGATCAACTTTGGAAGCCATGAGTTAAAGATGGTAAAGCCACTTCTCCAACTATGGCCTGCTCATATCTGTACTGTTATTTGAGATGAAATCATACAGTGTGCAACCTTTTGGTACTGGCTTTTTCAATTAGCATAATTCCCTGGAGACTCATTGAAGTGGTGTGTACACTAGTTCATTTCTTTTTGTTGCTAAGTACTATTCCATAGTATGGTTGTATGATGGTTTGTTTAACCGTGCACCCATTGAAGGACATGTAGATTGTTTCCAGTTTTTGGCTATTATTAATAAAACTGGGATGAATATAGGGGAACCATTTTTTGTGTGGACATGTTTTCAATTCTGTGGGATAAATGACCAAGAGTGGAATTACTGGTCATAATGACAGTGTACGTTTAGTTTAGTTTTTTTTTTTTAAAGAAATTGCCAAACTGCTTTCCAGAGTGGTTATAGCAGTTTACATTCCTATCAACAATGTATAAGTGATCTAGTTTCTCCAAATTCTTGCTAGTATTTGGTATTACCATTATTTTTTATTTTAGTTATTCTTATAGGTATGTAGTAATAGCTCATTGTGGTTCTAATTGGTATTTCCCAAATGGCTAATGACATTGAACATCTATTCACATGTTGTTATGTTATAACATCTTTTGTAAAATATCTGTTCATATCTTTGTCCATTTTTTATTTTACTGTTTTAATCTTTAAGTCTTTACTGTTTTCTGTTTTTATTGTTTTTTACTGTTGATTTTTGAGAACTTTTCATATATTTCTAGATTTCATTTTAACAACGTGGTCCAAAAGGGGCCAAAAGGTAAATTAGATCTCATCAAAATTAAAAACATTTGTTCCTTAAAAGAACCTGTTAAAAGGATGAAAGGATAAAGTACAGCCTGGGAAAAATCTTTGCAAAGCATATATCCAACCAAAGACTAGTAGACAGTCCTAGTCCTGGGTCCTAAAGATTTTCTTCTGTGTTTTTCTTACCAAAATTTTAACAATTTTACATTTAAGTCTTGAACACATTTTGAGTTAATTTTTGAAAATGCCTCTTCTTTATACCTTCCGAAATGTCTGTGGAGATGCCTGTCATTATTTAATTTCAATGCAATAAGGGAAAGATTGAACTGGGGGTGCAGTGAATTAGATTTTCCTAATACTCAAAGATTACATATCTTTTCTCAGAGGGAGGTCACAGGCGAGAGGGTATAAGTCACAACATAGTGTTGGGGGGAGAGTTCCTAGTATAGAGAATATCTAGGTTTCTTTCCATAAAGTAGCAGCCAAGTACAAAATGTCCTGAGGTGATTAAGAGAAAAAGGAGATTTTACATACCACTTCTTCTTTATCTATGCATCCATCAATTAATACTTACGTTGTTTCCATATATTGGCTATTGTAAATAACACTGCAATGAATATAAGGATGCATTTATCTTTTTGGATTAGTGTTTTTGTATTCTTCGAATAAATACCCAGAAGTGGAATAGCTATGGTATATATATATGCAATGGCATACTACTCTGCAGTCTTGCCATTTGTGACAATATGGATGGACTTTGAGGGTGTTATGCTAAGTGAAATAGGAGACGGAGAAAGACAAATACTGTATGATTTCACTCGTATGTGGAATCTAAAAAAAGCCAAAATAAAGAAACAAAAAACCAAAAATAGAAACAAACTCATAGATACTGAGAACAGATTGGTGGTTACCAAAGGGGAAGGAGGTTGAGGGTGAAGGGGGTCAGTTGCGTGGTGATGGATGGTAGCTGAACTTTCAGTGGTGATCATTTTGTAGTGTATACAGATGTTGAATTATAATGTACACCTGTTGTACACGTTAGAGTTTAGATAGATTTTTCTTGTAGGCAATGACTGAGACTCTTAAGCTGGGAGTGTAAAGGAGATGAAATGGGCACTCGGCAAGTTTGTTAAGTAGAATTGATGTCAGAACTATAATTTTGATCAGTTCTCCCCTCCTTCTCATTGACTATAGTGCACAAACACACATGATTTGGGACTTTCACTGACTAACTAACATTGTATTGTATGGACAGTGAAAGAAAAGTCATTTCTATATCAGAGGACTCATTTAGAGTCCTTGTAACTAGAAAACATGATCACTAAGAACTTCCTATAATTGGATCTCACCTCCGATACCATATACCATTACTGAAATCTATATTTTCTTCAAAGTGGAGCATTTGATCCTAGAAAATTTTAGAAGATTTCAGCAGAATAAAAACAGGAGACACATTTACTAAGTAGAGGAAATGAAATATGTAGTCACAAACAGATCATTATCCATTTTCCAGGCCATATTTTCCTCTTAGATTAAATCATTTCAATTCCTTTTGATTTCCTTCAATTATATTAATGAAATTACTCTCTGAATTATACATAATTTTTCATATTCCCTCTGAACTGTAGGATGAAGTGACCCATAGATAACTAGTAAAGAGTTGACCGGTAAAAGATAGAAATGATATGGCTCCTAATGATAGCTTCTTACGTATATAATCCAGAATCCATCCATCTGATACCTCATGAGAAAGGTACTAGGATCAGGGGTACTCGTATACAAATCACCTAATTTAATCTATTATGTAATAAAATGGTTGATGTAGGCTCTTAGCAACCCCATTTGGCTTGCTTATATTAACCTTGTGGTCAAAGATGACAATACTCATTTGTTAGTCATTTTAGATTAGTGAGTTATTTCCTATTTTCTTATAAGTACTTTTTGCTTTCTGGATAAAATACATGGTGCTAATCCATAGAAATTTAGAAAAGAGTTTAGAATATCTTTTAGAAAGGCTAATATATGAATTTCCCCATTTTAGAGATGAAAAAATGAAGACCCAGAGAGGCTTAATATTGTATTTCAACCATTATAAGATATACATTGTGTGTTCACATTAGCTTCTCTAAAACTACTATTTATCTACAATAAATAGCATCTTACAAGGGTGTTAGCCAGGTGGCAATCAGGATATCACTGCCTGGTATGCATGAACTTGGCCACTGTTGGACAATTGTATGAACTTGGTGGTATTACTGGACAACTACAACTTCATGTTTCAGTCAATGACCCACTTAAGGATCATTTCAGTAAAGTGGAAGTCCTGGGTGTGGTCTAAGAATTGTTTTAGTACCTTCTAGTGAGATGTATAAAGTATCAGCTGTACAACTTGTAGAGTAGGTGTTAATAGCTGTGAAAACAATCCTAGAGTTAATAGTAAAGCATGCTTTTTAAGATAAGTGGGCACAAAGGGCAATAATATTGGGGAAAATATCCACATCAACGACTCTTAGTCAAAAATTGATTCAGAACAATTGACCCTGACTCTTTCATATTTTCTTTTTCTATACTCTATAACATTGATATGTGAAAATCTATGTCTAAATAAATCCAAAAGAGCTCCTTTAATAAACATAAAATAAAAATTCGAAATTGTAAGGAAACATTATGTCACAGCTTGACAAACGTTTCTTAGTGCAACACTCTTTCTTCCAAACAACTATGAATATAATCAGTTTTGATTCATTCTTATATTCCAGCTGTTTTTCTATAAGCCAAGTTATTATCCATTCGTAATCTGAAGTAAAAAAACCAAATGTTCCAATTTTGGTGAAGAAATCTAATCTTTATTTCTATGATGTTAGCACAATATACTCACACAAGAGCTTTGATCTGTACTTAACAAAATACATTATAGCACTTTACAAACTTTATCAGTTTGGAAAACATTGCATAACATTTTATTAAACACAATACTTTATATATATATTATATATATTTTCATAATTTTATATACTTTAAAAAGATAATTAACTCTCTTTATTCAATACTTGGTTTTATCAGTAAAGCACAGCCTAACAAAGGAAGAAGTGCTCTCATTAGCAAATAAGACCAATAGAACACTAAGAAGAGATAACACCTGTTAGTTTCATTTATTTTAAATTAAGGTACCAGTGGAATGTAAACAAATATTTTTTTGTAATTTTTTTTTACAAAAGATGTATTATCAAATATACATGCAGAGGTCTGAGTTCTAGCGACTATCATATGTCCTTAACAATGTGGTACAATTCGTTAAGTCATTAAAAACTGTAGCCTTTGGCACTTTGAGTAGAAAAAGAATATATCAACATTTATGTAAAGAAAAAAAAAACTTCGATGATTAGAGAAGTACTTTAAAATCTTTTCTTAAGAAATAGGAAAGATTAGGAAATATCACACTGCACCTGAAATGCTGCAGCTTTTTTTTCTTCAGAAAACCAGTCCACCTTCCCCTCTATCAACTGGCAAAAGCCAGTAGGAGCGTCATGATGGTGATGGTGGTGGGGTGAGAAGTGGGGAAGGCAACATTTTACTCCCACTCCCCTCTCTGAGAAGGAAATTGCCAGAAGGGATATAGTTGAATCTGTATTTTATTGCCAGAGTTTTCAATTCTGCTGGTTTCAGCTAAATCCCTCAAGCTTTAGGAGGTTGGTGACTCTAGGAAGCTCTGCCCTTATCCCGTAGAAGCTGAGAATGACGTGGTACGATTTGTCTCTAAACAATCCCTCTGTTCTCACTGAAAACTAAACTGAAATCAGATCAACCAGCTTTGTTGTTCCCTTTTATCCCCTTGGCAATCATCCAGTGTATATTAGAATTCTTAAAGAATGGTGTAAAAAAGGTTTAATACTAAATTCCAAGAACCAAATATTTCTTCATACTTAAAAGAAATTTTTAAGTTGAAAAACACTTCAGAATGTTTTGTTTTTATCTTCTTATTGATAATATTGATTTCCTTTGATTTAGGCTGAAGGCTTCATTCGGGATAGGTAGCAAAAACTGTTGTTTGCAAGTTAAGCACTAAAACTGTGCCTATTTAGATATTTGAAGAAATACATTCTTAATTTATATTGTGAGATACTTTCACTTATCAATTTGCATTTTCTTCAGAGTCTTCCTGTTGGTGTCCAATTAACAAAAATATTCTAGGGAAGAAGGTAAAACCTAAGTACTGTGGTTCTAATTTACTGGTTATCAGGAAATTGAAAAAAATTATAATCTGGATCCAAATGGAATTTTTGGACTACTTGTTAAGATGGCAAACTAGGCCAGCTGGTTGGAGACATCTCAGAGTAGATCTGACTAACATTGCTGGCAACATAATCCACAATGTCAAGTTTTGGTTCAGATTTCTTGTTTATAAATTCACAGCAGTGTATTTTGCTCTAGGAATGTCACCCGTTAGTTTTGCTTTCAAAGTAGAAGAACATACGTATAACATCAAAAAATTTTTTAAATCAATAAATAAAGGAGAAGCCGTAAAATGCAAAATAGGATCACAACCATTTCAAAAAACTCTCTAAAACAATATATTTTTTAAATTATGCAAAGGTACTCACTAAAAACCATATTCTTCATTAGCAGGATCTATACTTAAATAAAAAGTAAGCAGCAAAAAAACTTCGGAAAAATACTAGTTGTTTTCTTGCACTGAAAATTCTCCTACACACTTTTTGTTCTTGAAGAAAGCATAATTTTTAAGAAATGCACAAAACCTTTTCATTTTTTGACTGTGACAGAGCCACTACAGAGGAGCTGCGGGATGTCCTACTCTAACACAAAGCAGCCAGCATCTTCTTAATACAGTAGCATTTCTTTGACAAGGAATTGCACACCACTATTTCACAGCTAAATAGAATTTGAGAGTTTACACGGTATATATACTATAATAATCAGCACCACCCGTATTGAGCTTTAGGTGCAGATTCTGCAAAATGAATATATAATACTGCATGGCCTCTGCTGTAGGGAAAACGTGTGTTCTGGATTCCCACAGCTATTATAAAGAAAAATCCCTAAAATTGGCACATTCAGGAAGTAAAATAGTATACATTGAAGGAAACCACTTTCTTTTGATACTGCCCTCTGCAAACCTTTTGAGTTTGAAGATAGGTCTTAAGAGTCTTCACATTATCACATGAGTTAGGTTCTTGCGTTGTGCTTTTCCCTCCCCTTGATGTGAAATCTACAAGCTTGAGTGTAGTAGTTCTCAAGAGTCATTGAGTTCCGGGCTGATGGTGGATAATTTAGTTTGATGAGAAGACTTCCCAATCTGCTGGAACGGAGCACAGGTAGAATCAGCATGTGGTCTTTGGGGGTCACCCAAATGATTGAACCGCCATCACTCAATCCTTGTAAGCCCGTGTCGGGGAGGTTCCTTTGTAGAAGATATTTCTAGTGTTTTCCGGGCTGTTGCTTCTTTCAGGGATTAAGATGATGTTGCCCTTTCTCCTTAGGGTGGAATCGCGAGAAGAAGAAACGGACAGCGTCTCTGAACCAATTTCACTGCCCTCTACTGGGGTGACGCGGATGGTGGTGATTCCGTGGTGGTGATGCTCATTGTTATCGATGTTGCTCCTCTTGCGATCTCCAGAACCAAAACTGTCTTTCAGGGACTCACAGCTTTCTGAGTCCCTGTTGAGATCATTGAGCTCGTAAGTTTGGCGAAGGCTGCCCTTTTCAGGGGCTTTCCATTTCCAGGAGCCACTCCCTTCGCCTTCGGTGGACGGGATCTGTATGATGGGTCTGTTGTTCTCCGGGTGAGCCTCAACCCTCACGATTCCACTGGGTTCGTGGTCTGTCAAGGTTTTGTAGCGGATGGAGCCAGTGCAGGAGACCGTGCTGCCTTCGGTGTTCTTGGGGCTGCTTTGGAGGACGCCCTGCTGCTTGGACATGGCTATTACTTGCATGATTCGGGGCTGGCTGTTGCTTCTATTACAGGCCACGGTCTTCTCCGCAGCTTTCAACCACTTGGCCCGAGCAGAACTGCTTTTGGGGGAGGTGCTCATGTTTTCTTGGGTCTCCTCAGGGATATGCACTAACTGTGAGGACCCAGGGCGGGACTGAATGGACACTCTTGGGCCCCCAGGCATGCTGTTATTACACCCGGGGACAGTGCCAGGCTGGATCTTGAGGTACTGATTGCCAGGACCATGGTGGTCTCCATTCACCCCCACCCTTGACGGCTCTGAGCTTGACCTCATTTCTATGGATCTGGGTGGTGACTGTCCAGGCTCAGTCTCTATAACTTGCAGGGACAACTTCCGACTTTCATTCTTATTCTTCCACTGAGTGAGGAGCTGCTTCGATCTAGCAGAATCCATAGAGGCATGAATGGTGGCGTTTCTTCTGACAGGGTCTTCTACAGAAGGGGTGTTGGCTCTAGGCAGGGTATTACTGAAGGTAACCATGTTCTCCTTCCCCATGGGGCTCCGTGGAGTGATGATTTCTACATCAGCATTTGCCCTTTTGAGGTTTGTCAGTGAGCTAGCATCTCTGTGGTTTCGGTTGAGGATGCCTTCTGTGTGAGCAATTCCATCACTGCTGCTACCATTTTTAGCAGATAAAACTCGGCTGGGGTCTTGATTGAGGTCTGTCAGAGACCTGAGGGCTTCTCTGTGCTGAAACATACTCTCATCACTAGGCAGAAAATTCCCCACAGCATACAACCCCTAGTGTTGAAGAGAAACAATAAATGCCATGCGTTAGAGGACCCACTGAAGCACATCAATAAGCTATTCGCTCTCTATACACCACTGACTAACATAAATAACAAAAACTAAAACGACAATTACTCAGAAAATAGGTTGTAAGTTATATCATAAATCACTAAACTAATTGTTCAGAAATATGGAACCCTTTGTTTTTTTATTAGTTGGATTTTCTCTCCTTTCTCCATCCCACTGGATGTTTTTGTGAATCTTATCCTCTGTGTGTTTTGAGATGAAAAGTCAGACAAGGAGAGAAATAAGGACCTTCTGCTTTTCAAAGCAATTCATTTTTCTGGATTTAGGAGCGTCTTGTTGAGTGACACCTCGAATGGCTTAACTGATTTATTTTACCTTCCATCTTTGATCACACCTCATGATGGAAAGCAGGAGGGGTATGCACACAACAAAGAGTCATTCGAAAAACATGACATCAGGTTTTGCCGTGAGGTCAGAGACCCCTATTGTTACAACTCACATCAAGTACAGCCTTGTGTGTTCAACACTGTACAGAGTGTTCTGTGAAGACAGAAGCTGTCACTAGATTAGGGCACCTACGTTCTTTCCTAATTTAAACTTGGTGTAAGTTAGGAAATAATATTTGATCAATTCAGTGCTAGTACACTGAATTTGAGCCAAATTTTATTTAATCTTGTCTTCATACTCAAGCTATAGATTTTTTGTTTTAGATTTTTGGGGATAAAAATTTGCGAAAGGCTAAAATTCAGATTCAAAATTTTTACCCTTTTTACACATAGAAAGTCTAATTTCTGCTGGATTTTCAGTTTTTGAGATGATTAGTTTAGAGATAAGAGCAAGCAGCAGATACCTATTTGTATGCTAATTTCAATAGCTGGTAGCCACTGTCTACTTTTTCAAATCAAACCAAAGGAATCCTATGGATTTAACATTTATAGAGTGCTTAACAATAAGCGACAGCATTGGCTTAGAAGTGATAAATTTCCAATTTCAGGGCATAGAGTGCAAACAGGAATGGAATAAAGTCAGACTGCTGCCTCTCCAAGTACTTTAATTCCTGGTTCAAATCTTCTTCTGAAAGATTTGCTCTCACTGCCAGAGTTCTCAGGTTGAGTAGTCCCTACCTAATGTTCTATTAATAATTATGTTTAAAGTTGTAAGTTTAGGAAAATCCTCCACTGTAAGTAACCTCTGCCAATACTGTTAACATTCAGTGCCCAGCACTGTGCTTGATAAATATAGTTGTTTAATCTTTGTTATGATAAAGTAGATAGTTATTATCCTTATTTTATCAGCACTGTGCTTGATAAATATAGTTGTTTAATCTTTGTTATGATAAAGTAGATAGTTATTATCCTTATTTTATAGGTGAAGAAACAGGCTTCTGAGAGGCTATATAACTTGGCCAAGCAGAGAGAGATTTAAAATTCAAGCCCCAATCCTTCAGACTATGAAGCCCATGCCAATTCCAGGACACCATGAAATCACACACATGCAGAGGCAATGCGTGAACGAGACCACAACGGTTCCCAGTCTTCTTTATTCACCCTCTAGCATACATTGCCAAGCAACACTCCTGTGGGCAACCCAGGCTTATGCGCAATTCCTGGCACACTTACTTTAATTTGATTACTTTCTCTTGCACGGAAGAAAGCATGTGAGTAATAATGAGATTTGAAGTGACAATCCTGACTATTCTAGTTTATAAAAATGAAAAATGAATCTTTCTCACTTCAGTACTTTTGCTATTTTTTGTAATCATTGTCTTATAACACCTTTCACAAGTGCATCAAGATTACACGATTGAGAACTGCTGCTGAAGACCATTTTCACCTCTCTGTCAGCTCCTCTCAGTTTCCTTCTTCCTCTTGTTGCCTCTTCCTCTGTATGCTGCTTGTGTACTGGTGTTCCCTGGCTTCTTTATATTCTTATGATCTGGCAATTTTATATAACTCCATTACTATGTTGATACTTGCACCAGTAATGTCCACGATTTCCAAATGTATTTCTCCATCACTGATTGCTCCTCTGAGGTCCAGACCCAACTATTCAACTGCCTATTGATCCTTTAATTGAGTTCATCAATCCCCTTTCCCTCCATCAACCTGCTTCCTCTATCATTTACCTGGTCTGTAATGATGTCACCATCTGCCCAATCTTCCAAGCTAGAAACCTGGCCATTATCTCGCATTCCTCCTGTTCCCGCACCCTCCACTTATACTTGCTCTTTCACATGTCCATCTTTTTTCATGTGCAGTTTCTTCTGCTTTAATGCCCTTTCTCCTTTCCTTACCCTAAGAAAGGCTCATTTTTCAAAACCACATCACTTCTATGAAGGCTTCTCTGACTTCCTTAGGCAGTGTGCATTTCGTTCACAGCCTATTGTTTCATTTAACATACTGTAACTGTTTATATTTTTATTTGTAAAATACTGTAACTCCTTGAGGATATATCTTATTTCTCACTTTTCTGATACTTAGTATAGTACCTGGCCAAGATTGGATATTGAATAGATGTAAAATGAATGAATGAATGAATGAAATGGACAATCCCAGTTTCCTTATGCTGAGGATATTTCCCTTGGAGGAAGGTCAGGCTTGAAAATAGAGTACTGCTGAAGAATTCAATATTAGTTGGATCATAGTTATCTCCAGGTGTCACATTTGTGTTATTGGGTAAGTTATATAATCTTCCACTAAATCTTTACTTTCACTAACATTATTTCACTAATACTATTCACTTTCCTTATCTGTAAAGTTATTCTGGTAGTAATAGTCCCTGACTCTTTTTCTAGGTGGGTAGTGTAAGGATAAAAATGCAATAATCCTTCTAAAATCACAGTTTCTGGCCCATGATAAGAGTTTAATAAATTATTTTACTGAGAGTGGGATATGTGTTTTGGCTTAGCATGGAGATGCAGCCAGAGATTTTCTCATGAATATAAACTATATTGTTAATAAATTATTACAGTGCAAAATATTCTATGCATGTTTTCCATTTTAAGCTGTGGTTTATTAAATAATAATAAACTATTTACCAAGTACAAAGCAATTCCTCCTCCTATTAAAAAGCCACAATAGACATCAACTGGGTGGTTCTTATACTGAGTTATACGTGTTAGTCCACAGATGATTCCACAGATGATAAATGTGAAGACCAAGAGAGGTTTCAGAAGCTTAGAGGAATCCGTTAATGTGGAATTGAAGTACATCTTAAAAATGAAAGAAACAGGTTAACTATGTTAGAAAGGTCATTTTATCATTAAATCATAACCAAATAAAAAGTTAAACTCAAAAGCCTAACTGATACATTTGACATCAATTTTACTGTTCCATTCCCCCTGCAATGGCTGTGTTCTATACCAGCAAAGAAAGGAAATACATGACAAAATTGATCAAATAAGTAACTGATCTCTCATATAATTGCATGAAAGTTTGAAAAAATAGAAGCAGCAGAATTAGTCAGTTGTTTAGTGTCCATGTTACCTGTCACATAATTTCAGTCCATTTTCCTCACATAAGACCTCATTGGCTATCGTATTAATCAGATACAATGACCATTTGCTGTATAGCGTTTATCAAACTTATATTGACTTAGAACTCACTATTCTTACATAAACACTACAAATAAATTGTGTGTTTACTTAATGTAATTCTTTCAGTTTTATTCGTGTGGTTCACAATATCCTCCCATGGAGTATAATATTACATTAAAGGGATACCAGGCTAAATAAATATTCTTATATGTGTGTAGAAAAGTGATTTTACTATAATATTGTTTATAGTAGCGTCAAATTTCTGCTTTGGATGCCACTGTATTCAAGGACTACTGTGCTAAAGTTTACTGTTCTGTGACTACACAACTATATAACGTAATTAGTCACTTGGGGATAACACTCATCTCCTTGATTTTCTGTAGGACACAACTTGATGAAAAGGACCAGTAACTTACCGAAACGTACACAGCTGCAAAGGCGGCGAGGGTCGCATGTTGAGAAGGGAATGACTTTCTGACAAAGGAAGACAGACAAATTATGCCTTCTAGTTTAGATATACGGCTAACAATCCTCTCAAGAACACTAAGCGGGTAAAATGTTCAACTTAAAAGTCGCAGGGCAATGAGCAATAACTATAGTTTCTGTTTGGTTTTCTGGAGGAAAGTCTGATAAAATAAACGCTGCTGATCACCATTAGTATTAAAGGGTGGTAGTGATGCACTTTCCAAGATAAAGTGCTAATTTTGTGAGGGATCACTTCATTACACCATTGGAATTATGGTAATTATGGTTGAAAGTAGAAACAGATTGGAAAGCATTATAGTTATTCTTTGGTATTAGAATTATGTCAGTTTAAAGTGGAAATTCATAAAATCTAAGATTTTAAAGCTTTTAAATTTTTCTATGCTCTAAATACATATGGTTTCATTTATATAAAAATTTAAAAGACAAAATTATTTTCTCACAGCAGTGGGTCTAAATGTGTTTTTCACCCTCTAGAAAGCATAAGAAACTCTGACTTTAACAAAACGTTTCTCTGTATATTCCACTTTAAAATAATTATCTCGAGAATCACAGAGCATCTTATTTAATTAAACAATTTAAGGAGAAAAGTGGGAGAGGTGAGACACAAGATAGCAAGAGAGACACTGAAAAGGACAGACAAAAGAAGAATAGAAATTTCTTTTAATGGATAAAAATTTGGAAAAAATAAAATTCAGTTATATTAATGTCCTTCTAATTATTTGATACTCAGTAAAAAGGACTGCCATTCAACACAGGCAAGATAATGTAAAAGGACTGAGAAAGAATAGAGGATATAGATCTTAAATGTAGGTTCAAAATTATTGAATGGACCACGAGCACTTGAATGTGTGTAATTCCATAATATCAGGCTCTGATTCTTCAAGTGTCCCTATTAACTTATTTTTCACTCTTAAGTCAATCTTTGGGAACTTGTTGAATGACAAATACAATTCTTATAATAATTGTTTACTGCCCCTCATCCTTCTGTGACTTATTTCTTTTGAACTTACAAAATATTATCTCTTACCATACAAGCTTATTTTTTACATTATTGATTGAAAAAAAATTTAAAATGTTGATAGTTTCTTGGGTTTTTCTGTCCCTTATTTTCTAAAATCCCAGATGTTATCCTTTTTTAAAGTCTACGAAAAGGAAAATTCACTTGATTTGTTTGATAAAACATATAATAGAGATGTAAATATCTTTCACTTAAGTCAATGCAAGACACATATTGACTGTAAGCCATGACTGACCATAAATATCCTAAAATAAACCCACTGTGGTAACCTAAAACCATAATGAGTTTAGGGTAGATCACAAAACTTGAATGGGCTTTGGTGATATGAAGACTGGTGACAAGAATGTGAAGGTGAAATTTGGAGATAGAAGGATTTAGAATGAGCCACCAATGGGTTTCTATGGTTTAATCACCAAAGAGATTACCGTATTGAGAAGAAAAAGAAAATGAAAATCATTGTGACTGAAAAATGTATGCCTAAGATGATACCTCAAGCTATTAACGAACAGTGAAAACACTGGCACGGAATGTGTTTAAACGTCAGTTTCTAACCTGCCACTGTTGATAACTGTAAGGTCAGATCCTGAGCAAATATCTTCTACAATGTAGGAATTTTCTTTGCAAGACACATTCAGAGAGGTGTAGTTTGGCTTGCAGACAGTCAGAAAGTATGGTGCCTGATATCCTGTGGACAGCTGTATGATATCTGTGATGAGAGCTGTAGAGCAGAGTCCAAACACATGAACACCTATAAGCAAAAGGAAAGAAACTGTTACCAAGTTAGTGCTTAAAGCTGATGTTGTGTCCTTATCAATCATGTTTATTTCACATTAACATGACAACCTTTAAATCTGCTGTGATCATTTTCTCTGAGTTTATTTTGAGGAGATAGTGTAGAAAATTCCTAAACTTCTAAACAGATTCTTAAGGCAAAAATAAGGTCAATTAGTATCTCCAGAGTAGTAATTTGAGGTATTTTTGTCAGTTTGGTTAAATAGGGCCAATACTTAATATTATTAACTATAGGTCACTTGTCAGATACCTGGAACATGTTAAGGTGACCGACTGTGTGATTTGAGAAGGATTAAATATGGGGAATGAAGCAAAATTCAGGATAATTATAAATTGCTTAGAATGTTTGAGCTGCCAGGGCTCTCTCTTCTTGATGGTCCCTAACTCCAGCCATAGTCGTCAAACCCTACAGAATCAGTTCAAACTCCCAAGAAGCTGTAGTCACATCAGGAATGCTAATGAAAACAGAGAAGAGGGCAAGTGGACCCTGTCATGAAAACAATAATTGTATCATGAGTACAGGGCTGTGGGAGCCTTCCTGCAAGTTTGGAATTCAGAGATGATGTTCTTATATCTCCTCGTCCAAAATCTATCTTTCTTTTGCCTCCTGGGGCCAGTCTTAAATCATAAACTCACAAACCCCGATGCATGCTTGTGTACTCCAACTCCGTTCCTGCTTCAAGTCCCTTGCCTAGACCTATCTTTGGGAGTCTAGCTCTCTGCTCTCATACACATAATCTGGAACTCACCTACTCCCTCTATGTTGTTCTGACACCCTGGATTCACTCTGACTTCACAGCCTAAATTCTGATTCATGATTTGCTCATAGAAATCAGTGTGAGACACACTTGGATCATTTTTCAGTGGACTCCTCCAGACCAAGATCGCTGGCCTGCATGTTACTGTGTTTTGTCTTTTCCTTCTCTCCTCCTCATTATCTAACCATCATTCTCCCAATTCCTTCTCCACCCACACCTGGGGTTCAAGACACGGGAGGTTTATTTCTACATTCTAATTCCCCAGCAGCACGCAAGGTCTTAGAGAGGACTATGGATAAGTGGGGAAACCCACCCATTTTTACCTTTGGAGAATGAGAATCTCCAGACGCATGGAGGATGGAGTTGCTGACTCTGGGACACTGTTCTCTAGCGTAGGATGGACTATCCTCACAGAATAAGGCATTTCAGAGAGGAGAGCAGCTGCATGTCCTGACCTTTTACTTCCTTGCCTAAGTTCATGACCCTGCTAAGAAGCCTATTCTTATCTTACCGTCTCCATGTGCCTTGCCTGGTAAAGCAGAGTCTAGGGCATGATTTAGACCAGATTTTTCCTCTAGTGGGAAGACAGTTGTATTTAATTATCTACTAGGTATTAAATGAGACTACTTATTCCTTTGAGCTGAGAAGTTACAAGGAAAAATAACTTTCTACTGACTTAATTGGAATGAATGTAAAACATCCACATTGGTGTGATGTACTGTGGCTTGACTTCTCAACTCAGTTGAAAAAAAAAAAGGTCTGTGACTTGACTAACATTAAGATGGTCCCATGCTGAGCCAGCCCAGAGGCTCTAGCGATTAAAGTTCGGCACTCTCAGTGTGTCAGCAGGTAGGTTCACTTCCTAGGTTCACGCTACCTGTCTTTCAGTTCCCATGCTGTGTTGGTGGCTCACATAGAAGACCTAGAAGGACTTACAACTAGGATATACAACCATGCACTGGGGCTTTGGGGAGAAAAGAAAAAAAAGAGAAGGATTGGCAATAGATGTTAGTTCAGGGCAAATCTTTCCCTGCAAAAAAAAAAAAAGGATGGTCTCATGCTAATCAGAGAGGAAGGTTTAGATACTGGTTTGATTCAGATGCTGGTTAGCCAGCCCCATGGATTTTCTATAGGTCTCATGAAAAATGGGAGGTAAAGTTGGAGGATATAACAAAGGAAAAATAGCCTTGATCCAGTACTCTATGGTGACATTTCCATGTGCAGTAACTTCTGGATGAAAACGCTCCAGGAGAACTGAAATGGAATCATTGATGTTGCTAAACTAATTTCTGAAGAGTTATCCATTCATACTGGCCTGCTGACATTTATTCTCCACTTTAAAAAATGAACACAGATCCAGAGAAACCATTTTAAAGTAAATCTATGCTTCAACCACAGCTAAGACAAAAACATACTGAAATGCATGGCATGTTAGCTCTGAAAACAAGGACTATAACTGTAAATAACACATTTCAGATACAAAGCCCAAATGTTAGTGTTTTAGCAGTTTTTTAGTATAATGTAAAACTCATCATGTACCTGAAATTATACAACTAAATTATAGCTTTAAAGACTTAATATCTGTAATTAAATATAACATTCCTATTTGAAAAAAACATTTCCTTTCTTTGTGATTCCCCACACCCACCAACAAATCTGACGGCTCTTCTAAGGAAAGAATTGAAGTTGCAGCCTCCAGCATTAATGTTGGGCTCCAGTCCAACCCCATTTCTTCTTTTGGACAGACAACAGTAGAGAATTCCTTCCCCTACCATAATCTGCAAAGATAAGAGGGTTTTCAGAATGAACTCAATGGGTACAAATGAATTATGTTATCTCTTAATACATCATGAATTCAACAAGGTAAAGTTGTATTGTTCTCAAAAACTTAAAGTGAGCAATTTCTCTTGAGTATTTGAGGGAGCAGTGTAAAGTAAGCAATGAGGGCACTATAAGGAGCATGGTTTGGATCTTCCGTGCTCCTAAATACGGGTTAAGGGTGTGATAGCGTCCCGGAGTTTTAATGTGGTTACGTTGGCCCTTTGTCCAACAACACCCAGTGATGTCTAATGATTAATCACATGGTGACTGATTCTGCTCTCACTCTGGGTAGTATTTCCTAGGTGTAGATATTTAGAAAATGTGTTTACACTGGACAGAGAAACTTACTGTAGTATCAGAAGGACTACCTTAAGACAAGGAACAGTGCACTTGCCATAGGATTCTAGGACATAGGACATCAGTGAAGGAACTCAATATATTTAGACATCATTTCCTTCAGGAAGTTTTCTTTGAAACTTGAATTAAGCCCCAGCTTGAATTAAGCCCCCTTTCATGTGGCTTCCTTAGACTTTGTCCTTCCCTCTAGCATAACTTGATTAAAGTGCACTTCAATTATTCATTTAATTCTCTCACTAGACTAGGTCCATCTGAGGAAGACCCGTTTCTTCTTTACCTTTTATCCTCACTGTCTAGCACAGAGCCTGTGGAGTTTGCATTTGTTACCTTCGCTGTGGGATTCTCATTGGCTAATTACCCTGGGCATTTGGGTTGTTAGTTATTCTGTACAAGAGAAGCAAGATTTGAAATTATGAGTTTTACTTATGCAAAAAATTTTAAATATTTTGGATTACTGTATCTAAGAGATTACTGTGAAATTAGAATTGATTTGTATAAACATGTGGAGCTGAGAAAAGTAGACATATGTCCTTTAGATATAAGTGGTCATGTTACTTTGAAGATTATAACCGTGATTAGAGGTTGAAACAGGTTTTCCAGGGGAAACTTCCCAGTTCTCAATACCAGCTTAACGTTTATTTTATGAAGTATTTAATATAGGTTTCTTTTAAACTGATGACAGTAAGCCTACGCTCTTCTGCTTCGAATGCTCAGTCTGCTACATTTAGTTCTGTAGGTAATGTGTGTGTCCAATTATAAAGAATCTTAATTTGCATATAATTTTCTTAGTGAAACTCTCCTAGTAACCATATGTGTGTGAAAATAGTGACATACATGATAAACTCTTTTAAGATCAATTATATAGAAATAAAAGGAATTTTTTTCAAATCCTTGAAAATTTAGTTAACTATTTATGCTTCTTGAAAAATATCCTACATTATCACTTTAAGTTAGCCATGGAAACAATAGATTCTATATTTCACACAGACAGATATGACACGATACACCATGCACATAGAATAATATAATGGTTATCTCAAAATCATCATTGCAAGAAAATTAACCACTCATTTCTCAAATGCATTGTTGTATGGCTAAAAGACATTGATTTCATCTTCACTTCTTCAATAATAATTCTGTGAACAATTTTGTTTCTTTCTTTTCAATTGTATATGTGATGGTTTGTGTCTTGTCCGTGAATGCTAAATTATATATAAATTTATTTGTACAATGCCATTAGAGAAATGTGTCATCACACAACATAACAGTCATTATCTCAAATGACCTTGAGATTTCAGAGGTTTTATTTTAGTTCTTTAATATGCTCAAAACTCATATGTCAAGAGAGTGCTTTCACACTATTTGGCTTGATTATGTAATATGAATAGAGGTTTCTTGTCAGTATCTTGACATCACCCAATTGTCTCTCTCTTTAAGGAGGACACCAATTTTCTCCTCACACTTCTATTCATTTAACCTTGATCTATATGTCATCGCATGAATTTTCAAAATGATCCAATTTGGGTTAAAGATAGAATTCTCCTCAGGGGAAGGAGAGATGCTTCCTAATGCATTTCCAGATGCTCCTGCTTGTTTCCTTGTTCTCAATGGCATGCTGTTGTGCTGCAATATGGTTTCAGGGATCGGCCCTTGATGATAAAATTATTTGTTGCTGTTGTCATTTGTAAATAGAAAACAGTTTATGACAAGTATCTTTTCACAGTATTCTCTTTGTGATGTACACAGACCTGAAAAGAAGCCATACAATTTTTTGGCATCTCAAATATCATGGACAGGTTTTTGGAAGAGATTCCAAAATGACTGTTTCAGGGGAGTGTAGGGAGGAAATATATTGCTTATTATTGTATGGGCACTGCCCTCAGAACAGGCACCACAGGGAGAACTCACAATCTGAAAGGTCTTTCTTGTGAAAGCAATAAAACACAACAACAAAAATAGTGTAATATTCATCACACGATCTTCAATATTTAAATTTGCAATTTATGTCTTTTGAAACCCTAATACATTTGATATTCTACATTTTGATTGTACAGTAGTCCCTCCTTATCCATGGTTTCACTCTCTGTGGTTTCAGTTACCGAGTCAACCTCAGTTGGAAAATATTAAATGGAAAATTCCAGAAACAAACAATTTATAAGATTTAAATTGCATGCTCTTCTGAGTAGCGTCACGAAATCTCACGCCATCCGCTCTATACTGCCAGAGATGTGAATCATCCCTTTGTCCAGGGTATCCATACTGAAAAGGCTACCCGCCCATCAGTCACGTCAGAGCTGACTCGTATCAGGTTCGGTGTAGGGTTCGTACTATCATGGTTTCAGGCATCCACCGGGGATCTTGGAAGCTATCCCCGCCACGGATAAGCAGGGACTACTGCATGTATAGTCTCTGAAAGCTAAGGTTACCTCCTAGGAATTCTAATCAAATTCTGATAGGATTCTCCTATAAAATTTGATATACTTATCCTTTAATAATGTGTAATAAAATTTTACTTCCAGAGAAAGTGCATGTAGATTTCTTGAAGATTTATGATAAACCCAGGTGTTCTGTGCTGTTTTCCCTGAGAAATAATCTCCAAAGGACTAAACAAAGGGCTTGTTTCATTATCACTCTACAGGAAGTGAAAATTGAATATTAAGGATGAAATTTTCCAATTTAAGGACAATTTCAGAGAAATGCAAACATGCATTCCACAGACATGAAAGGAATTTTGACAGTTTTTCATGAAATGTCACAAAATCAAGTTATTTTTAAAATATCTCTCAAAGCATAAAAAAAAATCTGAGAAGCAAACACTTGATGATTTTTGTTTAAATGCCTGTATAAAAAGATCAGTTGATCTTTCTTTTGCTCATATAAAGGTCCTTTTAAAGAATATTGCTGACAGGAGGTCTTTCGTTTTGCTCTGTCTTCTCTCCAGGTAAATGGGTGAAGACAGGAAGTGCCTCTCCTCACACAAGCGGGCTTTAAAAGCCATTTCCAAACGAAGGGTTCCCTCTGCCTCCCTCCCTTCCTCTACTACTCCATTTGAACGAGGCTTATGCCACCATAAAGATAAAAAGAAAAAGGCATCCTTGAAAGTCAGAGATTACGGTCTGTTTGTTATTTTCACTTTCAAGAAAGGCAGGTAAGGGGTTAAGTAATGACATACATAGTGAGATCAGAGACAGAATTATGGTTCTGGAACAAGATGGGACCAGACATTGGGACCAGTGTTGAGAAAATGCATGCTTTGGGACAAAGTCTTAAAAATAGAGGGAAAAACAAAATTAGAGAGAAATCTAGAAGTATGATGTATATTTGGAGAAAAAATTGTGAAAAATAGTATTTGATGGCAGCAAAGTCAAGACTTGTTTTACCATTGAGTTGTTTACCTAAAGCCTATGAAACAAGTGTGGAAGAAGAGAATTACTGACATCCTGGAGCTTTAAGTGATATGGGGGAAATTAGGGACACCAGGGTGTAAATATTTCCCTAGTCTGCCTCTCGTTCCATTAGGAGGCATGCAGCCGCTATCGAGGCCCTGTGGAGACCCAGGAGTTCAGTGGGGCCTTTGCCAAAGGAATTGGCACTGGGCTCCCCAGGTCAATGTGGTAGAAGGGAGCCATGGCACATTTGTTCTTTCATTTCTCAGGGCTCGAGAAAGGAAGCTTCGACCCAGAATCCCCCAGAAAACATCCTTAAATTGCATATTGAGAATTTATTACGGGAAATGAGGGAGTCAGAGAAGCAGGAACACAGTGATGAGGCCAAGGTCATTGTCCCCAGGACATGTAACAGTGTCAGCAAAGGGATCAATGTGAGATAAATGGTGCTGGCAGGGAGTGCCACAATTAGACTTGCTTTCCTAGCGACTTAATAAAATACCCTAAGGAAGAAAGACTTCTGCATATATAAAAAGCAAATTATTTAAATGAATAAATATCAACACAGTCTTTTCAGCAGAGTCGTGAACATTTGTATAGTATTTTATTTATTTTATTTCAAATATATCAATTATAATAAATTGGTGCACTACAACCCCTGTTAGGAGAAACACTTTTTGGTGTAATAGATTTAAAAGCATATATTCTTTCCACTCTTCTCAAATGACTGGAAGACATGAAATTTTTTATGTCTTTAGAGAAATGATAGGAAAATGCTGTTATTCTGAGCAATATTGCACTGTAAATATGTTTTATTAGTCTGAGTGCCAGCTATTTCCAAGTACATTATTAATATTTCCAATCACCCTGGAGTTATTGGAGTTCAAATAACTCATTAATTTACAAAGTATTTTGAGACCTTTTAAGTATGATAAAGTTGTATGGAAAATTAAGTTCCAATTTTATTTTCTGAGAATATTTGACATTATTTATAGTATAAACAGCATGTTATGATTACTTAATATAGGAGAAATTTTTAAAAAGTAAATTCATAGCTATGTAAAAGTATAGAGTTTAGAAGAGCTATACAAAGACTTGCCTAAAACTGCTGATGTACTGACCCAGAACAGGCCAGTTCATTAGGGAGTCTTGTAGAAACTCAATTCAAATACAGCTTTTAATTTCATAACCACTTCCTCTAACATTCATGAGCACGATAAAAGCAAAGTAAGAGTTCCTCCTGGTAGAAATAAATATTATTAACCTTGAAACATGTCTCTTGCCTCTAGGTAGGATTCTGGGGGCAGAAAGGATGATGGAAAGTCTTGGCCAGTCTTAATTATTAATGAATTTACCTAAAAGTATGTTATTCACAACGTGAAGGTTAGCAAACTAAAAACAACTATGTTTTTAATTCGATTCCAGTAGGTTAGGGCATTTCTTTGTGTTACATATTTTGAAATGCAAATGCCTCTTCTGAATCTAAAGTATTTTACTCGTGTGTGTGTGTGTGTGTGTGTGTGTGTGTGTGTGTGTGTGTGTGAGCTGAGCCAGGAATGTGAGCTGTGTCCTCTTTATAGTTGCTGATGCTCAGTGCTCATAATCAACAAAAAATGCTAACCTGGTATAAAATGACACTGTTTAAGTAATATCACCATGTACATTTGAGAAGATTCTGTCAGCTATATAATTATTTGTTTTTTCCCTCCAGTTTTCCAGACTTCAGATACCAAATAAGCACATGAAAAATACATTAATTAGGAAGTGTATCAGAAATGTCATTTTAGCTCAAGGAGAACTATGCAGTTACAAACCTTTTTTTCAGAATGATTTATAAAAGTAAACACTAGGGACCATCATTTTTGCAATCATATAATCTTAACTTTTAATGCCAGAAATTTTAAACTATTAAGTATTCCCGTATGATACTGTCAAAATATCTCAAAGACATGATATTTCTGGTCTAAGATTTAGAGTTCACTTTTTGTTTGCTTTTAACCTACTTATTACACAAATATGGTCATTCTTAGTTTTCTAGGACAAACACAATTTGGGGCAATTCTTACCGTAATTGCAGGTCCAGCAAAAGCCAAACTAAGCAACATGAGGAAAGGAATTGCCTCCTGGGTGGGTTCAATGTACGGCATGCTAAGACTCCGGTCATAGCAGCTAAATCCAGAGTGCACAGGTTTGAAGACATCTGTGAGTTCCAGGAAGTACAGGCTAACCACCGATGAGGCCAATATAGGCAACTGAGAATGAAGGACATAGAAGATCAATTTATTCTTATATGCAGGTCATACATAGAATAAGTACATCTCGAAGTAGGAAAGTGTATTTTTCCCCTTCTCTTGACACTCCTCTCTGATCTCAAGTTAAAATCATCCGTAAGTACCTTCACATTCAAAATACGTCTCCAATTCATCCACCTCTCACCAGCCTGCCATGAGCCCCTGTCGTTCCTCACCATTGCTCTTGAATTACCTCCTAGCAGGTGTTCCTCACTCTTACCCTTCCCACTCCACCTATCCATTTTCCGCACAGCATCCCAAGGGCTGTTTTGAAAATATTTTAGATCATATCACTCCCTATCTTAACCACTCCAGTGGTTCCCATCCTACTTGAATAAAATCCAAATGTCACATCATGGAATGCAAGTTTCTGCATGATCTGAATCTTGCTTGGTTCCTTACATCTTATATCACATTTATAGCACTCCCCAGCCCCCCGCTCACTACAATCCAATTGGTCTTCCCTGTTTTTTTTAAATTGAGATATAATTGACGTATAACATTATATTAGCTTCAGGTGTACAACACAACGATTCAATATTTACATATATTGCAAAATGATCATCACAATAACTTTAGTCAACATCCATCACTACACAGTTACAATTTTTTTCTTGTGATGAGAACTTTTAAGATTTACTCTCTTAGCAACTTTCAAATATACAATATGGTATTGTTAACTATAGTTTTCACACTGAACGTTACATCTCAGGAATTATTTATCTTATAACGAAACTTGTACCTTTTGACCACCTTTACCCATTTTTCCCACCTCCCACCCCTCACCTCTGGCAACCACCAAACCATTCTCTTTATCTATGAGTTCTGTTTGTTGTTGTTGTTGTTTTAGACTCCACATATAAGCTAGATCATAAGGTGTTTGTCTTTCTCTGTCTGACTTATTTCACTTAGCATAATGCCCTCAGGTCCATCCATGTTGTCACAAATGGCAAGATTCCCTTCTTATTTATGGCTGAATAACATTCCATTGTATGTATTCACCACATATTCTTTATCCATTCATCCATCAACGGACACTTAGGTTGCTTCCATGTCTTGGCTATTATAAATAATGCTGCAGTGAATGCGGGGATGCATATATCTTTTCCAGTTGGTATTTTAGTTTGCTTTGGATAAATCCCCTAAAGTAGAATTGCTCAATCATTTGATAGTTCTGCTTTTAATTTTTTGAGGAACCTTCACACTGTTTTCCATAGTGGCTGCACCACTTTACATTCCCACCAACAGTGCACAATGGTTCCCTTTTTGCCACATCCTTGCCAAAACTTGTTATTTCTAGTCTTTTTGATAATACCTATTCTACATGTGTGAGGTGATATCTCATTGTGGTTTTGATTTGCATTTCCCTGATGATCAGTGATACTGAGCACTTTTCACATACTCGTTGGCCACCTGTATTTCCTTTTTGGAAAAATGTCTATTCAGATGCTCTGCTTTTTAAATCACATTGTTTTTTAGCTATTGAGTTTTATGAGTTCTTTCTATATTTTGGATATAACCCTTTATCAGATATATGATTTGCAAATATCTCTCCCATTTGGTAGGTTGCTTTTTCATTTTGTTGATGGTTTCCTTTGCTGTGCGGGAGGTTTTTCGCTTGAGGTAGTCCCATGTTCTTCACTCTTTTCCTGTAACAGGGAAATTTATTTCTACCTAGGGTTCTTTGCATTTGCTATTCCTCCTTCTTCCTTTTGTCCTCCTCCCCTGGCTCTTTGTATTGTGGTCTTCTCATCATTTCATGATGACTTCCCGTACTCTCTATCTAAGGTAGCCCTTGATCCATCCTCCCTCTCTACCCTTATCATCTTGCTTGATTTTCTTCATGGCATTTATCATTAACTGAAGTTAGCTTGCCAATTTAATACTTATTTATTTTTCATCTACCCCCATCTCCCACTGAAATGCATGCTCCGTGAAGTGAGAGTCTGCTAATGTTATGTATTGCTGAGTCCCCAGGGCATAGAATTGTTCCTGGCATGTGGTAGACATGCAGTACATCATTTAATAATTTAATGAAACAACAGATACTTGTTGGTAAATGACTAGTTGAATAAATACGTAAATATTAGTTTATTACAATAACTAGACTAGAGTTCCAGATTTAGCACATGAAAATACAAGTCACCCAGTGAAATTAGAATTTCAAGTAAGCAATGAATAATTTTTAGTGTAAGTATGTCCTGTGCAATATTTGGGAGCTACTGATACTAAAAATTATTTGTTGTTTATCTGAAATTCTAATTATACTGGATGTGCTCTAGTTTGCCTAATAAACCTAAACTACACATGATTTATGTTCTACGCTTTGTGTTATGGATTCAATTACTCATTCATTCAACCTACAGTATGCTAGGTACTATGTGGGTGCTAACTATAATATGGAGAACAGGATATGGGCTTGGCCATCAAGGATCATGAGCTTAGTGAGTGACCTGCTTTCAGCTAAAGAGAAAATACCATAAATATATTGTCTGATGCTAGGCCTTTCAGAATCTGAGAATGCAGACTTATATAACAGTGAAAAAATTGTTTAGTTTAAGGCTTTGTTACTTGTGGAGGATAATTATTTATTCAACCAAACAGAGCAGATTTTTGATAAAGATATTATTGACCATCCATGATTTCTGTTTGTCTGGTTTAAAAAATAAATAAATTATAAGACAGCATTATGCCTTCTGTTCCCAAGAGGTCTTTTTATAATGAAATGAGAATTAAGTTTATTGGAAAAATTAACAATGCATGAAGATTAATCTGGCATTGTCTTTCTGTTTTTCCGATGGATGCTTTTCAAGAGAGAGAGCAAAAAGTACATCAAAACACTTATATGTCTCTTATTAGACTTCGTGATCATTTGATCTCTGCAACATCTGGCCCTTTCGCCTCCCCACTGCCCTCTCCTGTAAGGCAGGAAGAGTCGCTTTCAGTCTTGACCAATAAATCAATACTTCATGATGCATGTGCATGATTGGGATTCTCCACTTGAATCTACTTAAACATATTTTAGTTTTAATTTAACAAATACTTCATATAGCACTTACCATGTGCCAGACAAGTTTCCGTTTTAGAAATTTTAATTAAGTTTATTAATTAATTTTAACTCATTTAACTTAAAACTTTCTCTTATGACATAAGTTAAGCGCTCTCATTATCTCATTTTGCAGGTTTATAAGGTCAGTCTCCTCTCGTAAGTGGCAGAGGTGGATTCTGAACCCAAGAATTGTAGCTCCAAAGTCTTATTTCTTAACCACTATTCTATGCTTCATTTCCAAAAATGGGAATAGAGTTTTAGGATAATGAAATACAATTAGCATCCATTAATGGGGGTACTATTTAGCTTAAAGTTCTGTTTAAGAGTTTGTAATTTGAAAATCTGTAGTTAAAAATATGTATCACTTAGCATAAATAGACATTATCTTAAAATATGGTTTCTGTAAATTCAGAAAATGTTTTCCTCCATTAATTTGAATGTTAAATATTTCACTTTTAAGCCAAATGTGATGATGCACCTTTTTTTTCTTTTTCCTTGATGCCTTTAGTTCATATTTTAGGTCTTCTACATATATTTTATAAATGGGAATCACATCTGAGGCCTTTGACATCCACCCAAATAAAATCCGATCTCACTTTTAAATGCCTATGCCCCAGTAAAGTGAGTTTGATGTATTCTACAGAAAGGTGAACAAAACTTTGTCAATATGACCAATCTGAAAATTAAGTAACCCTTCCCTAGTGGAGACATTATTCACCATGGAATTTTGTGGATGATTATTTCAGAATCTGCTCAACTGTGCCAATGAAGATAGAGCCATGGAATGAAAGTACTATTCCTACAGTGTGTATGTGTGTGTGTGTGTTTGTGTGTGTGTAAATGGGGAAGGACAGTCAGAATTCTACATACTGGAGTAAAATCAATGGGGTCCTGTGGTTTTCAAGACACCCTATGAGGTCTAATATTAGCTCTTCCACTCACTACCACCAGGGTGACCTTGGAAATCTTTTTCTTAAATCTCAGTTTTCTCATCTATGAGATAGATACATTGATAGTACCTATCATCACAGGCACTTGAAAGGATTAAATGAAATATTGCAAGTAATATTCAACAATACCTGGAGTGAAGACTAGTAAATAAATGTTAGTATTATTGTTATTATACTGTTGTATATTACTAGTATACACTATATTGTTGTTGTTGTTATAACTATTAAGAATAATATAATCATCAAATGTCACCTTTTTCATAATGCCTTACTTGCTAATCCTTTTTGAGAGTAATTTTTCTCACTATTAATTCCCCAGCACTTCTTCTTAGGAAATTTTTATACACTGTTCTTTATTATAGTTATCTGCTGTAGATTATAGCCTTTGCTCTCCTTCCCAAATGAAAATATCCTTAAGGTAGGGGCTTAATCTGATACCACTAATAATATACATCATAGTGACTTCCAAATATATGTGCATATATATATATATACATACATAATAAATTAATGTGAATCAAAATAATTTCCTTCACTAATATACAGATTTTAGTCCTTTCATTCATTAGCCTTCTTGAAACTGTCAATTTTTCCAGTTATACTATTTTTCTATCTATATATTAATACTTTTTTTAGTTCTATAGAAGCATGTTTCAAAACTGTCTTTCGTTTTCAAAATAAAATTCATATTTTTCTCTCTTTTTGATGTTTGCTTCTGTGACTTTTTTTTAAAGTATCCCTTATTCTTTGTCTTTTATATCAATTTTGTTTTTAAGAAAGAGTGATTTGAACAACATAAAATATTTGGGAAAAAAGTAATATTATACATTGTTTTCCTATACTATATTTTACTACTGGACAGTGTAATGAATTAAATTATGTTTACTTCTAACATATTTGTCTTCAAAAGTATCTTTCATCTTTTGAAATGCTCAACAAGAGAACTTTCTTTCGAACGTAAG